CATGGCTATCTTCATCATCCTCATATTCCAACAATTAATGATACAATAACAATGATAATAACAACCTTCAACTATACAAGCTAAGCTAAACAATATCCAATAACCAACATAAAGACTAAGTCCCAATTTATGACCATTCAAGGCTACTACCTCACATCATACAATTCAATAACAATTTCCAACAATTCAACATAGCTAAGATCATATAAGAATAGCCCACATCAAACCACTCAAAAATCCTTCATCAATTACTCAAAATCAATAGACCCACTTTAGACCAAATTTAGAGAATTTGAAAAGACATGGGTTCATGAAGATTTCTTTCTTAAAACCATCAATAATCATAAATAATAACATAAAACATTATTTAAAAGGTTTTCATCTAAGAACCCATGCTAGAATTGAAATTAGGGTGTTTGGGAGAACTTTGAAAACACTTTGATTTGGCTCCTTGAATGGAAGAGGAATCAAGGATAAAGAATCCCCATACCTTAACCTTCATGAATCCCACGAAATTTGAGAAGAAAACACTTGTAACCTTCAACCCTAGCTTTAACTTGACCTAGCCTCCAATGGAGTTTTAGAGAGAACTTTTGGAAGAATGAATTCTAAAATACAATATACAAGTTTAAATACCTTTAAAATACTTAAAAAAACATAAAACAATAACCCATATATTACCCAAACTACCCTCACTTAGTTGGACCTTTTTAAACAAGTCTAACTTGAGTTTTATTTTCGCAGATTTCGTTGGGAAACAAGTCCGCGACGCAGAGGTGTTCCCACAAGTTTCTAAAAATTAAATTTCGAGATAGAAGAGTCCGAGACACATCCATGATGCAGACCAAACATTTGGCCCTTGGTGGATCTAGTCCGCGACGTGGACATGCTCCCTCCAAGCACAACTTCAAGCTGCCTTGGCAGCTTGCTTGGCCAAGGTTGGGGTCCTCCTCGGGGACCCTTAGGGTGGCCCCCGGGGCGTCCTATCCAAACATTTTGACCCTAAAAATATTTATTAAGACACTAGGGTCACCTCCACTGATTTTAGACTCCAAACAACACATAAAAACTGAACAACTCACTAGAACACACCAACACATAAAAGACTAGTTTCCGAATGTCTTGGTCGTCCCTTGACGTTTGACTTCCAAACTCTTTAAACTGACTAAAAAGGCTATTCTTCATTATTTTAATAAGTTATTAATGCATAAAACCCATGTGAGGCTCTACTTTATCCTACTTGATTTTGAGGGGTGTTACACAGAGCACGGCCATGCTGAAGGCTAGTGCATGACGACGATGAACTACACCAAAGGATGAATCGCTGAGTTAATCGGCGATTTCGACTAACCTCACCGAAAGATCCGCCAACATTATTTTATGAAGTATATAAATACTAAACATGTTATTAATTTTTAGAGAGAGGAACATTTATTTTAATTTCCAAAATAGAATATTACTTTTTGGGATATTTTCTCTCAAGTTTGGAAAGGGTTTTTGGGAGACTTGAAGAAAGAAGGATTTCATCTACCCCAAGTTGGAAGTGAGTCTTCTCCATTCTTCTTCCTTTGGTTAAATCAAGGTTTAATTCCTATACCCATTTGATTTTAGTATCATTATAGGTGTATTTTGTTATTTCTTGATGTGTGACTAAAAACCCCCATTCTTGGGGTGTGATTTAGCAAATATGTGTTGATATTGTTGTTGGGTCTTGCTTGTTGATATGTTAGATGTACTTTAATGGTGATTTCACCTAGTGGTTGTGGTTTAATTTAATGGGTGTTTAGTTGCAAATACAAAACCACCTATGTGTTTTAGGCTTGCCCGAGAGGGAGGTCGTGAAACCAAGACCACTAGACTAATGGCTTATGGAGTGGGTCGACATGAGGTTCAGGCCGAGAGGGTAAGACCTAGTCCCATATCGTAACACTCAGCTCGAGAGAGTGAGTGGGGTAGGGCGTAGGCTGGCCTTAATGCGGCAAATGGGTGTCTGAGAGGAACACATTTGAAACGGGGTATGTTTCCCGAGAGGGAACTTATTTCCATCTAAAACTTACCTTAGTCACTATTATCTTGCAAATTTCCTATCGAAAGTATGTATCCAACGATTTATCTCAACTTGTATTGCGGTCACACCCAAGAACTTATCCCCATACTTGATTTTCTTGTTATTTTTGTTGTTTTTACTACTTGTGACAAAACCCCCATTTGATATTTGACAGCTATGTGTCACCCCTTTTAATTTATAATGTTTTTAATTGTTATGTCTTTAGCTACGACTAGTTAGAACTTGATTTTATTTTTCTATTAATTTTCAAAACCACTCCCTTGGGACATGACCCCAACCTTTCATTTGGTTACTATATTATCGACCATCATAGACACTCGTACCCTAGGTTAGTGTCGTTGGTCATGATAAACAGTAGTGGGCCTCTTGGATTCTGCACTCTTTGCCTAAATTGAGACTTAAATCTTCATACCCATTGGATTTCAACATCATTGAATGTATAAATTTCTATTTCTTAATGTATTGCTAAAAACCCCCCATTCTTGGGGTGTGATTTAGCGAATATGGGTTAAGATTGTTGTTGGGTCTTGGTTGCTGATAGATTAGATGTAGTTTAACAAATTTGTAGTTGCAAATACAAGTTTATTTATGTGTTTTTGGCTTGCTTGAGAGAGGAGTCGCGAAACCAAGACTACTAGATTGATGGCCTAAGAAGTGGGTCGACCTGAGGTTCAGCTCGAGAGAGTGAACTCTAGTCTCATATCCTAACACTCAGCTCGAGAGAGTGAGTAGGGTAAGGCGTAGGCTGGTCTTCATACGGAAAATAGGTGTCCGAGAGGAACCCATTTGAAATGGGGTAATTTGCTCGAGAGAGAACTTATTCCCACATAAAGCTTAGCCTAGTAACTATTACTGCATAAATTTTCTATCGAAGGCATGTACCCAATAATTTAGATTAACCTGTATTTCGGTCACATCCCAAGAATCCCTTTTTCATTGCTTAGATTTCCGTGTTGATTTTGCTAATTTTACCTTACTTGTGACAAAACCCCCATTTGATATTTGACACTTTTCTGTCACCCCCTTAATTTACTATGATTTTAATCGTTGACTTCTTTAGCTACGACTAATTAGAATGAAATTCCAATTTTCTATTAATTTTCACCACCGCTCCCTTGGGACACGACCCCATCCCTTGGTTGGGTTACTATACTATTGCACGATCGTAGACACCTGAACTGTAAGACGTGTCATTGATTACGTTAAGCTCAAGAGCGAAGAGAAATTCGCCAAGGGAGTTTGGTCAGCCCGACAAATGTCACCGAGTTGGTTGTGAAGTAGATTTGGGGCCAAACTTTGGGAAAATATAAATAGCCCAAAGAATAGAGTTTTGAGAGAGTTCGATTAGGGAGTTGAACTACTGAGTTCAGGAGAAAGTTTTGAGTTAGAACATTTACTTTTTAGAACACTTTATCTAGTCTTCTTGGGGTTTTACAATTTGAAGCTTGAGTTTGATAATATGAAGTTAAATCCAAAGTGGGTTTACTCTTTATTTCTTGATTTTAAATACCCATGACTGCTTTCATGAAAGGTATACTTCATTTACTTTTTGTGATGGGTGGCTAAAACCCCAAGATCTAGGGGTGCTCTAATGGGGTTGGGCGTTAATTTAATGTAATTTCTATTGTTCTACACTATGGTTTGTTCCTATTAATTCATGAATTTGGTCTAATTATCATGGGGTTAACTTAAGGGATAAGGTTGGAAACTTAATTCCTACTTTCGATCTCTGGTTGACGCTTGAAAGAGATTAATTAGAGTGGATAATTAGTTTAATACTAGCAGTTTAGATTTGATGTCTATGACTTGGTTGAAAGAGAGGTTATGGGTCAGATCTATTTTTCCCTATTCTTGAAAGAGAGCATAGGGTAAGGTACTGGTATTTTAGAAATGGCATTAGATAAGACCGAAATGATATTCTAGGCATATATGCTTTGAGATCAAAAGATGATTAGTGTGATTGAAGATGACTTAGCTTATTCATGTATGTACATCACTATAGAGCAATACCATTACTCCTATGTGACATTGATATCCGATCCCCGCAACCCTAGATTGCTTGTTAACTCTTGATTTCATTTTGATTTTAGTTTGAGGGCGATAACTGAAAAAAAAGCTTTATATTAAGTTTGTGGTACCATCCACCCAATTATTCTTACTATTCCAAGTGAGCTGATTTAAAGTCCAACTCTTTCGATAAATAATTCTCCACGATATACCATTTCCTGTGGGATTTGACCTGAATAGTCGTTGGGTTTTTTACTTACTACAACCTCTCACTCTTTTAATTAGTTTTGGAGGGTGATTTGAGCGTTATCATACCAGAGATCATATGGATCACATTCATCACACAAACAGATCATATGGATACCAAGAAAATATGTAGCTTTACCCATATCTTTCAACTTAAATTAGGATGACAACCATGACTTAATCTTGATCATGAATTCCTTATCATTTCTAGCTATAAATATGTCATCTACATAAAATATTAAAATTACATTACTTGGAAGCAGCTTAATTTAGGCTTGATCATTGAGCAAGAGATGTCCACGAGGTCCAGGCAGCGCCAGATGTCCCTCCTATTCCAGGTACTAATCACAGAGTTATGTCGACGGGCTAGAGTTCCACGAGATAAAAAGAGGGATGTTGAGATTACACCCACTTCTTCTATCAATATCTGGCGTATATAGGCCGAGTACATGAAGGACGAGGCTGATAGAAGGAGGGAAGCCTTGGTGGACACATCCCCAGAGGTTTATATTGATATGCTACCTGCAGAGGCAACCATGCCTACTCTAGCCACTAGGCCTTCAGGTACTTCTAACTCCAGTTCTTCTAAAGCCTCAAGTACTTATGCTGCTCCCTCTCCCCTAGATCTGCTGCTACTTCTGCTTCTAGGCCTTCGATCACCCAGGTGATGCTATATAAAATGGGGCATTTGGCCCAATTTGCCGATGTGTGTGCCTCTCGATTAGAGGTTGTTTTTCCTAGGATGATCGAGAGAGCCGTTGATGCTGTATTGACACCTCTCAAGGCTTTGATTGATGCCCTTACAATGAGAGTAGAGGTATTTGAGAGAGGACATGGTGCTTCTGAGGAGGTGACGACCTTGAAGGCCGATGTATCTGAGTTGAGGAAGGATGTGGACCATCTAAAGTCCATAGATTTTACTTCATTATTTGGGACGATGAAGATTCCAGATGACCCGAGCATAGTTATTCCAGCTTATTCTGAGGTGCCTACGGCTACCACAAGAGATGAGGTTAGAGTTGATGTTGTTGCTGCTGAGTCCGAGGCTGAGACTGATGAGGAGCAGTTTGGTGTTCATGAGGATGTTGTCTTTGATGATTTGGCAGACCTTGAGAGTGCCATGGTAGATTCAGCTGTTCAGGCCTCTTTGAGGGATGTTTCCATTGTTGGCTCCAGTGGAGCTAAGATTGCTGAGACCCCGAGCACTGATGCCCATATAGACGGAGCGACGGATATGCAAATTTCACCCAGGCTTAGCCTATTAGGATGACCTTTCCTTTTCCTCTCTGTTACTTTTTATACTATTTTTGATTTAGTTGCATTTGAGGACAACTGCGTATTTTGTTAGGTGGGGTGAGGTATTACCATACATACCTCTTGTGACTGTTTTGTGAATATGGGTTCTGTTTTGATGATGATTTTGTGAATATTGAGCCTATTATTTTACATATATCTTGGTTGTGATATTACAGATGTTCTTAGTTTGTGGGCTATTGTTTTGATGTGAAAGCGGTTTTGAAGCAATTTTAAAAATTTTACCACCTCTTGTGTGTGTGATTGTGGATGTTCTTGTACAAATTTGAATAGTGCTCTTAATTGAACAAAATGAATGTGTGGCTATGATAAGGTAAACGAAGTTACATAGGCAATATATGAACTTTGAGCATCTTGTTGTGACTAGCCGATTGTAAATGAAGTCTCTTGTGATGAAAATTGCACGCTAGATAAAAAGTGTAGAGTCTTGTCTAATGATTGTATCAATGCCTTGTGTGGTGAGGTCGTCTTGAACATTGTGTTTGATGACACCTAGAATTTTCCCCGTTGGTCCGATTGATAGAAGTGAAGCAAGCAATTGAAATGATCTTAGGCAAAATTTTTGAAGAGTGAACAAATTTAACAATATACCTCTTTTATAGCCACCCTTGTGAGAAGTGTGAAACTTGTTTTTCCACCCATTGAGCCTATCCTTTTTATTGAAAGAAACTTGAAAAACTTTGACCTCTTCATCTATTCACCCATAATCTTCATGAAGTTTTGGTTTGTTTGAATATCCAACTTAGGCCAAAAGCCTAAGTTGGGGGTGTGGTGAAAAAGAAGGAAAGTCAAGAAGTGTGAATATTTCCCCATTTGATCGATTGTTTTGAAAAAGATGGAACCCCTCCATGTAAAAAAAAAAAGATAAAGGAAATGAAATAAAAGAAAAGAAAAGAAAATGACTAAAAAAGAGAAAAAAACTGTGAAATAAAGTAGTGAAAATTGCGAAAGAGATGGGGTATTCGGTGGTTCATATGGAGTTGAATAATGGGGTGGATTATAGGCAAGTTTGAAATGTTAAAGAAAAGGAGAAAAGTGATGTTCAGGCCATACTTCATGAAGGAAGAGGCCACTAAGTCTAAATGACCATACCTTTACACTCAGCCCCGTTACAAGCCTTGAAAAGACCTTTATGATCTTGAGTGAACTGAAACGAATGTTGATTGGAAAATAAGGTTAAACCTATGGGTGAAGTCATGCATATGTTCATCTTTGTGAGTGTGAGAGTTGTATGTTATCCCGATACTTTAAATTGTTGAGAAATTTTGTGTGAATATGGAATCATCTTTATTGGGGCATTTTAATACTTTTGTTGAGCTTGAACTTACATTTGAAGCAAGCATTGTGAGCTTGAGCATACTTGATGATGGTGAGTCACAATTTGAAACTTTGAGTGCACAATTGATCATTGTAGAAGTAGTTTGGACCTTGTTGTGTGCATTTATGTTGAGTCTTATGCAACACTGTTTGTAGACATCATTGTTGAACTACTGATCGTGAGTTTTACTTGAGAACAAGCAAGAGTTTAAGTTGGGGGTGTTGATGAGTCCGATATTTTGACTCATTTAGGGCTTTGTTTTGATAGTATAAGTGTCCTCTAAGGCATGTTTTATGTTCTAAACTGATGTTAAAATGTTGATTTGCATCTATGGAGTCTAAGGAGCAATCCAAGGACATTACCGGACAAAAAGGAACTAAAAAGCTGAATAAGTGAAGAAAAGCGACCCTGTTGATTGCCAAGACCACTCGGTGTACCGCCTAGTGGCTCTTTAGCTTGCCCAAAGTTACAGCGTGCTAGCGCTGGGGAAAAATCAAGACGGCGACAAAAATGGGCAGTCGGCGAATCGCCTATCCACCGATCGGTTCCGCGACAATACACTGGATCGCCCAAAGTTATAGGACTTGGAATGCTGAAGACCAATGCAAAATGTAAATGGAAAGAGAGAAAACAACGGATCACCAAACCACTCGGCGAGGCGCGACTTATCCCACCGAGTGGAATTTTAGGCCAAAATGCAAGCAACTATAAATTGGATTTTGAAAGGAATTTTGAACAGTTCTCTTCCAGACATTGCATTTCTCATTCTAGAGTTAGAGTTTTTCTCTTAGTTTCAGTTCTTATGGCAGACTTTGAGGATTTATAAGCTTAATTTTGAGGTTTAGCAAGTGGTTTTTTAAACTTCTTCAATTTAGACCATTGTAAAGACTTGGGAACCTTTACCCTGATCATGTCAAATATATTTGGTAATCGTTTCTTTATTTTTATGATGTTTGGATTAAACTCCAATTCTTGGGGTGTGATCATGTGATTATAGGTTGAATTAGCTTATGGGTATTGTTAATTACTGATTTAAATGTTATATTGAAGTTGGTTTAATTATTAGCGGTGTTTTAATCTATGAATTGTTGTTGCAAATGCAATTATAATTTTGAGTTCTTAGCTTGCTTGAGAGAGAGATCTTGGAACCAAAACTTTTGATTAATGGTTTGTAGGTATTGGACTGATATGGGTTCAGCTCGAGATAGTGAATCATCAACTCAATTTTACCCATCTAGCTCGAGAGAGTGGATGTATTAAGGTTGTGGGTTGTTCTTTTGCTAAGCTTGTTGATGTTCGAAAGAAATCACTTGAAACGTGATAGTTGTTCGAGAGGAAACTATTTCACTCATAGTCCAGCCTACACACCAATATTTAGCTATTTAGTAGTAGTTTCAATTAACCATATAGTGAAATTTGCCTATAATCGATCACATCTTGAGAATTTCTCTCTATATTGTTATTTCCTTAGTGTTTGATTCTGTTACAGCTAATAATTGCAAATCAAAACCACCCATCTAACATTTGTGTCATCCCCTAACACTTGTTTTCATGTCTTTTTCAATTTATTCTATTCTTATAACTAAATAGACCACATTTGTACTTTATAACTGAATTTGAACACGCACCGCTCCCTGTGGGTTCAACCCCAACCTTTCATTGGGTATTATACTAGTTAACGATCTTTTGCACCTAGAATTGGATGAGGTGTGCTTGAAACGTCAATCACTCCCACTCAAAGAAAGGACATTTATTCCTCTCTCACTTGAAAGAGGATTGGTGACCACTTGTTGTCACTTGAAAGAACATCTAGTTGGTCACTTCCATTGTGTGTCGAAGGATTACTTTAACTCGCATATGCTGATGGAATAGTTTGTTGATGAAAAACTAATTCATCATCTACTAAAATACTTCCACTCTAAAGAAGTGATCCTTGAACTTTTTGATGCCGTTTCTCAAATATGAACTATTTCAGCCATTTCTCCTCTTTTTAGGAAACACATTTTCTAAGAATGTGACATCTCGTCATTCAAATTCAATTATACTTTTACTGCTTTTCTCACCTATAAACATACAACCTTTGGAGGTTTCTGAGTACCTTATAAAGATAATTATCTTTCCTCTCAAACCCAGTTTTGTCATATTTGTGAGAGGAATTATATGTATAGACACCATAACCCCAAGGTCTTGGTATACTCAGACCATGATGTCTACTGGTTATTGGTCCATAGTTTTTATGAAGTGGTTGAAAGTAATTTTGGAGGCATTCAATTATGTAAATAGAGAGTTGTAAGCAAAGTAGCACCCAAAAAAATAATTGAGAGACTGACTTTGTTCATCATTGATCTAACCATTTCTAGGAGCACTCTGTTTCTCATCTCTATAACACAATTTTGTTGTGGAGTGTTTGAAATAGTCAATTGATGAATAATTCTATTTTCACCACATAATTCATTAAATTGAAACGATAAATATTTTTGGCCATTATTAGTTCGAAGAGATTTTATCTCTTGTCTAATTGATTTTTCACTAAGCTCATATAGGGTTCTAAAATAATTTATTGCTTCTGATATTTGGGAAATGAAATAGATATAATTAAAGTGGGATTATGAATAAATTTAATGAAAGAACTTTCCCTATGCCTAGCTGTAACATTCAAATGCCTACAAATGTTTGAATGGATGAAAATTTTTCATTGGTTTATTTACTAAAAGGTTTCCTTGCAGATTTTGTAGCTAGATTCTAACACCCCGTAAATTCTAACCTAAGATTTGAACTATTCTTCGCATGTGTATAGGCCCAAACATGATGATTTCTATTTATAAATAGGTGTTAATTCCTAAGTGTGGAAAGCGTGTTGGGTTTGAATTAAGATAATAAGATTCTTCTAGCACAAAATGGAGTGGAAATTTTCTTACTGATTATGTTTCACTATAAGTTCTTACTAGGGTACACTTAAACTGAGTATATCTCTTAGAATATGAAAAGGCATATGTCCTAACCTATCAAATTAAAGGTATGTGGTCTCGTTTCCAACTTTACAAACCATTTGTCAATCTGATATGTGATCAAGAAGTGGTGCTTATTTAACTAAGCACTACACTGAGGTCTGGGCCACACTTCACACCAAACTAAACTTCAAATGCTGAAAACAATATGGGTCCACAATGGAGCCTGCGGGGCGTCCCCAAGGTCTGTGACAACCCTTGCGGCGCACACCTTCTATTTCTAGGTGAAAAACACATTTGTCTACCTCTAATTAAGGATATTTTGGTACTTTTATTTTAGAAAACTTCCCCACTCGAATTTTAAGTCCCATAAACCTTTTTTTTCCAGCCAACTTTGACCCATTTTTGTAAACCCACAATACTACACATCAACATATCCCCAATTCCCATTATCCTATTTTGAGCCCATCAAACATACCCCAACATACATATAACAATGAGCACACTAACAAACCCATTTCCTTATGTCTTTTTCCCTAAATGACCCAAACCCTAAAACCATCACAAAATCGATGCATCATTTTGTCACGATGTAAAGTATACCCTAGGTGTGACATGATGATGTGTCCATAAATTGGACTCATTTAGGGCTTTATTTTGATAGAAATAGTGTCCTCTAATGCTTATTTT